TTATATGGGCTTGGGGGGTGGGGGGTGGCTAGGTCTTGAGTGGTTGGGGTTAAAAAGGGGGGCGTGGCTTGAAGGGGCATCACCTTATATGGGCATGGGGTAGGAGGTGGGCGTGGCTTACTTCTAGGGGCGTGGCTACGTCTTGTGTGGGTGTGGTTAAAAGGGGGCGTGGCTTCCGGCATCACCTTATATGGGCATGGGGGCGTGGCTTACATCTGGGGGCGTGGCTTACATCTACGGGCGTGGCTACGTCTTGAGTGGGTGGGGTTAAAGGGGGGCGTGGCTTCACCATCACCTTATATGGGCGTTGAGGGCTTGGCTTAACTCTAGGGGCACAGCTTTGTCTTGAGTGGGTGGGGTTAAAAGGGGGGTGGCTTGAAGGGGCGTGGCTTCCGGCATCACCTTATATGGGCATGGGGGAGGGGGGGCGTGGCTTTCCTCTAGGGGCATGGCTTTGTCTTCAGTGGGTGGGGTTAAGGGGGAGGCGTGGCTTCGCTATCACCTTATATGGGCATGGGTTAGGAGGGGGGCGTGGCTTATCTCTAGGGGCGTGGCTTTGTCTTGAGTGGGTGGGGTTAAAAGGGGATGGGGAGCGTGGCGTGAAGGGGCGTGGCTGCCACCATCACCTTATATGGGCATGGGGGGGGCGTGGCCTACCTCTCCGAACTGCCCCTCCCCCAGCTTCTGCCGGAAGCGCAGGCGCTGGCGTGGGAAGGTCGGGAGGGCGGGGCAAGGGGCGTGGCCGGAAGCGGGGTGGGCGGAGCCTCCGATGACGTCAGCTTCGGCGTAGGCCTCGGCCCCGCCCTCCGGGGCTAGGTGGGGGGGGGAAGGGAAAGGGGTGGGGCTTGAACGAGGTGGGAGGGGCTGTTGGGGGGGCCAATGGGGAAGGGGCGGGGCTTGGCCTCACCGTCGGTGTTGATTGGCTTGGCCCCGTCCGGGGGGGTCCGAGCGAGCCCTCCCATTGGCTGGGCGTAGGTGGCCAGGAGGAGGCGGTAGCCTGGGTTGGTGAAGGGAGCTGGGGGGGGGGGGGGGCGTTAGGAAAGGGGAGGGGTCTGGAGGCTCCACCCCCTGAATATATCCATGTATCCATATATCCATCATCATCGTCATCATCATTCATCATCATCATCATCATCATCCATCATCATCCATCATCATCATCATCATCATCCATCATCATCATCCATCATCATCCATCATCATCATCATCATCCATCATCATCGTCATCATCCATCATCATCATCATCATCCATCATCATCATCATCATCCATCATCATCATCATCATCATCCATCATCATCCATCATCATCATCATCATCCATCATCATCATCATCATCATCCATCATCATCATCATCATCATCATCATCATCATCATCATCATCATCCATCAACATCATCATCATCATCCATCATCATCCATCATCATCATCATCATCCATCATCATCATCCATCATCATCATCATCCATCATCATCATCATCATCATCATCATCCATCATCATCATCATCCATCATCATCATCATCACCATCCATCATCATCATCATCCATCATCATCCATCACCCATCCATCATCATCATCATCATCATCATCCATCATCCATCATCATCATCATCATCCATCATCATCCATCATCATCATCATCATCATCCATCATCCATCATCATCATCCATCATCATCATCCATCATCATCATCATCATCATCCATCATCATCACCATCATCATCACCCCCCCCCATCCCGCACCGTGTCCCCCCGTTGGCTCCTGGTACTCCCCCTCTCCGGGGGGGATCCTCTCGTAGCGGGGGGGCCGGCGCGCCGCCGCCGCCGCGGGGTTCATGACGATGGTGTCCCCGGGCCCCGAGAGCTGCACCCGCAGCTCGCCCGCCGACGGCCGCGCCTGGGGGACACCCTTGGCTACCACCCATGCGGCCCAGGGCATCCCAGTGCATCCCAGTGCATCCCAGTGCACCCCATCCATCCCAGTGCATCCCATCCATCCCATCCCATCCCATCCCATCCATCCCATCCCAGCCCATCCCATCCCATCCCATCCCAACCCATCCCATCCCATCCCATCCCATCCCATCCCATCCCATCCCAACCCGTCCCGTCCCATCCCAACCCATCCCATCCATCCCATCCCATCCATCCCATCCCATCCATCCCATCCATCCATCCCATCCATCCCATCCATCCCATCCCATCCCATCCCATCCATCCCATCCATCCCATCCATCCCATCCCATCCCGTCCATCCCATCCATCCCATCCCATCCATCCCATCCATCCCATCCCATCCATCCCATCCACCCCAGTCCCTCCCAGTCCATCCCAGTCCCTCCCAGTCCCTCCCATCCATCCCATCCATCCCAGTCCCTCCCAGTCCATCCCAGCCCATTCCAGTCCATCCCATCCCACCCATCCCATCCACCCCAGTCCATCCCAATCCCATCCCAATCCCATCCCAGTCCCTCCCATCCATCCCAGTCCATCCCAGCCCATTCCAGTCCATCCCATCCCACCCATCCCATCCCAATCCTATCCCATCCATCCCATCCATCCCACCCATCCCATCCCAATCCCATCCCATCCCAATCCCATCCCAATCCCATCCCATCCCATCCCATCCCATCCCTCCCAGTCCATCCCAGCCCATTCCAGTCCATCCCATCCCTCCCATCCACCCCAGTCCATCCCAATCCCATCCCAATCCCATCCCATCCATCCCAGTCACTCCCATCCATCCCAGTCCATCCCAGTCCATCCCATCATGGGGTTCAGTGCATCCCATCCATCCCAGTCCATCCCAGTCCATCCCAATCCCATCCCAATCCCATCCCATCCCTCCCAGTCCCTCCCAGTCCCATTCACCTTGCCCAAGATCTTCCAGTACTGGCGCCAGAGGATGAGGAAGATGACACCCAATAGGAGCAGGATGATGGCCACCAAGCAGCCAATCAGGATGGACGTGGGGCTGTGGTCGGCTTTGCCTATTGGTTGGCCTCCATCGGGGTCCGTTGGGGCTGGCAATGGGGTGGAGGGGGGCATCATGGACCAATCACATCAATGGATTCCATCCATGGAGCCATCGTGGACCAATCACATCAATGGACTCCATCTATGGAGCTACCGTGGACCAATCGCATCGCGCCCCACCATACCTGGGGTTGTGACGTTGGTGGCCACGTCCCCACGCCATTGGTCCTCCTGGATGGCCATGACCCCCACGGAGGGGTCAGGGGGGGTGGCTGGAGGCCACCCACTGGACCCCACGATCTCCTCCACCACGTCTATGGGGTGAGCCCCATGGAGCAGGCAACGAAGGGGCCCATGGGGTGGTTGAGCACCCAATCACCCAACCGTTGACCCCATCACCCAACCGTTGACCCCACAACCCAACCGTTGACCCCATCACCCAACCGTTGACCCCATCACCCAACTATTGACCCCACCACCCAACCGTTGACCCCATCATCCAACCGTTGACCCCATCACCCAACCGTTGACCCCATCACCCATTGACCCCACCACCCATTGACTCCACCACCCAACCGTTGACCCCATCACCCAACCGTTGACTCCAACACCCAACCGTTGACTCCATCACCCAACTGTTGACCCCACAACCCAACCATTGACCCCATCACCCAACCGTTGACCCCACAACCCAACCATTGACTCCATCACCCAACCGTTGACCCCATCACCCAACCATTGACCCCCATCACCCATTGACCCCATCACCCAACCATTGACCCCATCACCCAACCGTTGACCCCATCACCCAACCGTTGACCCCATCACCCATTGACCCCATCACCCAACCGTTGACCCCACCACCCAACCATTGACCCCATCACCCAACCGTTGACCCCATCACCCAACCACTGACCCCACCACCCAACCGTTGACCCCATCACCCAACTGTTGACCCCATCACCCAACCGTTGACCCCATCACCCAACCGTTGACCCCACCACCCAACCGTTGACCCCACCACCCGTTGACCCCATCACCCAACCGTTGACCCCATCACCCAACCGTTGACCCCATCACCCATTGACCCCATCACCCAACCGTTGACCCCATCACCCAACCGTTGACCCCATCACCCAACCGTTGACCCCACAACCCAACCATTGACCCCACAACCCAACCATTGACCCCATCACCCAACCGTTGACCCCATCACCCAACCGTTGACCCCACAACCCAACCGTTGACCCCATCACCCAACCGTTGATCCCATCACCCAACCGTTGACCCCATCACCCAACCATTGACCCCATCACCCAACCGTTCACCCCATCACCCATTGACCCCATCACCCAACCGTTGACCCCATCACCCAACCATTGACTCCATCACCCAACCATTGACCCCATCACCCATTGACCCCATCACCCATTGACCCCATCACCCAACCGTTGACCCCATCACCCAACCGTTGACCCCACTACCCAACCATTGACCCCACTACCCAACCATTGACCCCATCACCCAACCGTTGACCCCATCACCCAACCGTTGACTCCATCACCCAACCGTTGACTCCATCACCCAACCATTGCCCCCATCACCCGTTGACCCCATCACCCAACAATTGACTCCATCACCCAACCGTTGACCCCACCACCCAACCGTTGACCCCATCACCCAACCATTGCCCCCATCACCCAACCATTGACCCCATCACCCAACCATTGACCCCATCACCCAACCATTGACTCCATCACCCAACCATTGACCCCCATCACCCATTGACCCCATCACCCAACCATTGCCCCCATGACCCAACCATTGCCCCCATCACCCAACCATCGACCCCAGGGGCCCACCTGAGAAGAAGGTGACCTCACTGAAGAGCATCCACTCCCCACTGAAGAAGAAGTGGCACTGGATGAAGCGGGCCTGGCGCCCCCCAAGTGGCACCGTGATGGGGCGGGCGCTGGGGTCCTTCATGCTCCCAGCCAAGCTATGGGTGACCGGGGTGGGCTCCCAAGCTGTGGCCAAGGTCTTCTTAAAGAGACACTCCACCTCCTGGAAGATGCTCACCCCATGGCTGTGCATGTTGTTGCAGTGGACCTGGGGGGACATTGGGGTCCCATGATGCCCTGGGAGGGGGTAAGGCCAAGGGGCTCCAATGGGAAGATTCAGCTCCTGAGTTGGGGTCTCCAATGGGAAGCCCCATCCCTAAGGTTGGGTCGAGGTTGGGGGTCTCCAATGGAAGCCCCATCCCTAAGGCTGGGTCGAGGTTGGGGGTCTCCAATCAGAAGCCCCATCCCTAAGGTTGGGTAGAGGTTGGGGGTCTCCAGTGGGAAGCCCCATCCCTAAGGCTGGGTCGAGGTTGGGGGTCTCCAATGGGAAGCCCCATCCCTAAGGCTGGGTTGAGGTTGGGGGTCTCCAATGGGAAGCCCCATCCCTATGGTTGGGTGTCTCCAATGGGAAGCTCCATCCCTAATGTTGGGGGTCTCCAATGGGAAGCTCCACCCCTATTGTTGGGGTCTTCAATGGGAAGCTCCATCCCTACGGTTGGGTCTAGGTTGGGGGTCTCCAATGGGAACCTCTGGACCCTAATGTTGGGGTCTCCAATGGGAAGCTCCACCCCTAAGGTTGGGTTCTTCAATGGGAAGCTCCACCCCTAAGGTTGGGGGTCTCCCCTGGGAACACCCCATCTCCCACCCTCCCATCATGCCGTGGGGCACCTGCATGGCTCGGAAGCTCCGGAGGGCCTCGAACTCGAACTCCAGCTCCACGTGGGGCTGAGGCCCCGGGGGTCGGCGCCACCCCACGTAGTCGTAGCCCGGCCACAGGCGTCGCTCCCGGCTCCGCGTGAAGTCATCCAGGCCCAAGATCCCATCGGCCAATTGGCCCAGGCCCCCAAACTGCAGCCTGGGGGGGCGGCAGGAGATGTGGGGCGCAGCATGGAGCAATCCCGGCCATGGGGGTCCAGGCGTGGGCCAATGACATCAATGGGGTCCATCCATGGGGTCCATGCATGGATCAATGCCATCCATGGGGTCCATCCATGCAGCCATCACGGACCAATCCCATCCATGGAGCCACCATGGACCAATCCCATCCATGGATTCCATCCATGGATCCACTATGGACCAATCCCATTAATGGACTCCATCCATGCAGCCATCATGGACCAATCCCATCCATGGAGCCACCATGGACCAATCCCATCCATGGATCCACTATGGACCAATCCCATCCATGGGGTCCATCCATGCAGCCATCATGGACCAATCCCATCCATGGAGCCACCATGGACCAATCCCATCCATGGATCCACTATGGACCAATCCCATCCATGGGGTCCATCCATGCAGCCATCATGGACCAATCCCATCCATGGATCCACTATGGACCAATCCCATCCATGGGGTCCATCCATGCAGCCATCATGGACCAATCCCATCCATGGAGCCACCATGGACCAATCCCATCAATGGACTCCATCCCTGGAGCCACCATGGACCAATCCCATCCATGGGGTCCATCCATGGAGCCATCATGGACCAATCCCATCCATGGAGCCACCACGGACCAATCCCATCCATGGAGCTATCATGGACCAATCCCATCCATGGATTCCATCCATGGATCCACTATGGACCAATCCCATCAATGGACTCCATCAATGGAGCCATCATGGACCAATCCCATCCATGTCACCATGGACCAATCCCATCAATGGATTCCATCAATGGTGCCACCATGGACCAATCCTATCCATGGACTCCATCCATGGATCCACCATGGACCAATCCCATCAATGGATTTCATCCATGGATCCATCAAGGACCAATCCCATCCATGGACTCCATCCATGGAGCCATGGATCCATCAAGGACCAATCACATCAATGGACTCCATCCATGGAGCCATCATGGACCAATCCCATCCATGTCACCATGGACCAATCCCATCCATGGAGCCAACATGGACCAATCCCATCCATGGAGCCACCATGGACCAATCCCATCCATGGACTCCATCAATGGATCCACTATGGACCAATCCCATCAATGGACTCCATCCATGCAGACATCATGGACCAATCCCATCCATGGGGTCCATCCATGGAGCCATCAAGGACCAATCCCGTCAATGGACTCCATCCATGGAGCCATCATGGACCAATCCCATCCATGGTGTCACCATGGACCAATCACATCAATGGATTCCATCCATGGAGCCAACATGGACCAATCCCATCCATGGAGCCACCATGGACCAATCCCATCAATGGATTCCATCCATGGATCCACCATGGACCAATCCCATCCATGGTGTCACCATGGACCAATCACATCCATGGATCCACCATGGACCAATCCCATCCATGGACTCCATCCATGGAGCCATCAAGGACCAATCACATCAATGGTGTCACCATGGACCAATCACATCCATGGATTCCATCCATGGAGCCAACATGGACCAATCCCATCAATGGTGTCACCATGGACCAATCCCATCCATGGACTCCATCCATGGAGCCATCACGGACCAATCCCATCCATGGTGCCACCATGGACCAATCCCATCCATGGATCCATCCATGGAGCCACCATGGACCAATCCCATCAATGGATTCCATCCATGGATCCATCAAGGACCAATCCCATCAATGGATTCCATCCATGGATCCATCAAGGACCAATCCCATCAATGGATTCCATCCATGGATCCATCAAGGACCAATCCCATCCATGGATCCATCCATGGTGTCACCATGGACCAATCCCATCCATGGACTCCATCCGTGACGTCACCATGGCCCCATCCCATCTGGAGATGCTTTTGGGCCACTGCAGGACAGTTTGGGTCCCATTGGGACCACATTGGGGACCCATAGAGACCCATAGGGACCCATAGCGACCCATAGTGACCCATAGCGACCCATAGGGACCCCTAGGGCCCCACAGCGACCCATAGCGACCCACGGCGACTCACGGGCCAAGGCTGTATCCATCGTAGGTGGAGTCGTTGAGGACAACGGGCGCCGGGTCCAGGAGCATCACTTGGCCATGGGGAGCCGTGTAGGACACGAGGCCTCCTATGGGGACGCAGCCCCATAGGGCTCGGCCGTGGGGCTGGGCTCCCACCACCCTTAGCACCGCCCCCATTGGGGTCGGAGGTTGGGGGCCACCGGGAGGGGCGATGGGGTGGGGTGGAGGGGGCAATGGGGGGCGATGGGGGGCAATGGGGGCCAATGGGGCGCAATGGGTATCAATGGGGCGCAATGGGGTGGCAGTGGGGGCCAATGGGGGTCAATGGGGCTCAATGGGGTGGCAGTGGGGGGCAATGGGTGCTAATGGGTATCAATGGGGCTCAATGGGTGGCAATGGTGGCAATGGGGGTCAATGGGCGTCAATGGGTGTCAATGGGTGCTAATGGGAACCAATGGGTGTCAGTGGGTGTCAGTGGGTGCTAATGGGAACCAATGGGCATCAGTGGGTGTCAAAGGGAGCCAATGGGTGTCAATGGGTGCCAGTGGTTGTCAATGCGTGTCAATGGGTGCTAATGGGAACCAATGGGTGTCAGTGGGTGTCAATGGGTTCAATGGGTGTCAATGGGTACCAATGGGTGTCAATGGGTGCCAATGGGAACCAATGGGTGTCAATGGGTGTCAATGGGTGTCAATGGGAACCAATGGCTGTCAATGGGTGTCAATGGGTGCCAATGGGAGCCAGTGGGTGCCAATGGGAACCAATGGGTGTCAATGGGTGTCAATGGCTGTCAATGGGTTCCAATGGTTGTCAATGGCTGTCAATGGGTGTCAGTGGGTGTCAATGGGTGCCAATGGGAACCAATGGGTGTCAATGGGTGTCAATGGGTGCCAATGGTTGTCAATGGCTGTCAATGGGTGCCAATGGGAACCAATGGTTGTCAATGGGTGTCAATGGGTGCCAATGGGAACCAATGGGTGTCAATGGGTGCCAATGGTTGTCAATGGGTGTCAATGGGTGCCAATGTTGTCAATGGGTGCCAATGGGAACCAATGGCTGTCAATGGGTGTCAGTGGGTGTCAATGGGTGCCAATGGGAGCCAGTGGGTGTCAATGGGTGCCAATGGGTGTCAATGGGTGTCAATGGGTGCCAATGGGAACCAATGGGTGTCAATGGGTGTCAATGGGTGCCAATGGGTGTCAATGGGTGTCAGTGGGTGTCAGTGGGTGCCAATGGGAACCAATGGGTGTCAATGGGTGTCAATGGTTGTCAATGGGTGCCAATGGGAACCAATGGGTGCCAATGGGAGCCAGCGGGTGCCACTCACCCTCCCAGGGGCACCCATAGAGCTCGAGGCGCAGGCAGACGCTCATGGCCCGTGGGGCGCGGGGGTAGATGCGGAGGGCGCGGGCCACGGGGGGCGGGGCCAGGTCCTTCAGCACCACCCCCTCGGGGTCCTCGTTGCCCCCGATCACCTGGGGGGCGGGAGGGGGGATCCCGTGGGTACCATTGACCCCCATTGACCCCCCATTGACCCTATTGCCCCACATTGGCCCCATTGCCCCCCATTGCCCCATTGCCCCCCATTGCCCTCACTGTCCCAGTGACCCCCATTGCCCCCCATTGCCCCCATTGCCCCCCATTGCCCCCATTGTCCCCATTACCCCCCATTGCCCCCCATTGACCCCCATTGGCCCCCATTGACCCCCATTACCCCCATTGCCTTCCATTGACCCCCATTGACCCCATTGCCCCCACTGCCCTATTGACCCCCATTGCCCCCATTGCCCGCATTGAATCCCATTGCCCCCCCATTGACCCCATTGCCCCCCATTGACCCCCATTGCCCCCCATTACCCCATTACCCCCATTGACCCCATTGCACCATTGCCCCCCATTGACACCATTGCCCCCATTGTCCCATTGACCCCCATGACCCCATGACCTCCATTGCCCCCATTACCCCTATTGCCCCATTGACCCCCATTACTCCCACTGCCCCCATTGCCCCCCATTGCCCCATTGACCCCCATTGCCCTCACTGTCCC